TGAATATTATTCTGTACAGAAATAAAGTATTCAATTCATTTCACTCTGTTATTATGTTCAGTATTGATCTCACTTAAGAAATAAAGTTGGACCAGTTAGAAATAGACATGTTTGGATCATATAACATGAAATTTCCATGCTACACTCCCATAATTGATCTATGTCATTTGGTTGTATGGGTGTTTGAGACCATTGATGGATTTAGTCACGTTAAATGTGACGAAAATCACTTTGATCCTATATCAATATGACTAATAGACGATATTGCTTGGTAATACCTATAATAATAATAGCAAAATTTTAAGCTCATAAGGTTGTGCACATTTGTAAGGTCACACGTATAGTCCAGTGGGAGATTGTTAGATAATTTCAACATATATGAGGCTGCACGTTGTATATTGAAATGTGTGGTACTATTGTTTAAAGGATATTAGTCAAGTAAAGTGATTCGATAAAGATGTATTGTAACTAATGGGTATTAGAATTCATGGAATTATAGTGTAGAGACCGGAGTACTGTTTTAAATCGATGAGGGGCAAATTTGAAGCAACTGAAAGATAGTGACTATTGAGTTACTACTATTATTTTATATGGTTATGGTCTTCATTTGTTGGTGTTCTTCAAGTTTCTCTACATCCCCATCAATAGAGAGCAAAAACTAAGGGAAGATCACCAATCATTTGAAAGATCCTAACCTATCCAGGAAAAGAATCAGATTATCATGGATCAAGGTATGTTTTTATGTTTTGTTATTTTTTCGAATTTCAACATGGAGTAAGATCTATGGTTATTATTGAGAATTAAGGATTTGATTGTTGTTTTGATCGATAATCCTATTATATTTTTCTATCAGATTGACTTCTATCTTTTTGGCTTATAGGAAGATGGTGGAATGGAATCTTGTGTTCTTGCAAACTATGACATGTATATGATAAATCGATGAGGTAAAAATGCTTCCTTCATGTAGCTCATGTAAAATCTCGTAATCTTTGGAAGGAAATTTAATCCGGACTATAATTTTCATATCCATATTAGATTTCTTTATCAATGAGAAATATGAAGTCACTTGTTATATTGGTAACATAATGTAGTAATAGTTTTCATGCATCTCATTTGACGGGTGGAATCAAAACTTGTCTTGGCTATGTCTGTATGTGATGGGACATATTAGATACAAAGTATGATAACTAAATACATTCTCTCAAATATATCAAGTCCTCGATGGGTAAAAATTAAAATTAAAATTAAAATTTTAATCTAAGCCAAAGTTAACAATTAATTATAATCATATATCTTATGAGTCCCACAACTTTTCAACCACACATTTCATCAATTTCTATCAAAATTTACTAAAAATTTTATTTTAATCACCATCAAACAATGGCCGAGTTTTTAGACAAGATAAATCAATAATATAAATTNAAAAAAAAAAAACGAAAACAAAAAAGAAAAATACATAGCTATTGACAATGCCATATGTACGTATAGAAGTGATCAAGGAACAACGGTTGGAGTCAACTCAGTTTGGCTTGAATCATGCTTAACATTCTTGTTGTTGGTGCTATGTTTCATCTCACCATAGAAATAGGAAATAAAACCCCAAAGTGAGAGGAAAAGAGAAACTCCCTTTTCTGCTTGAAACTTTTCATGATAGAAAATTACTGCTAATACTTCTGTGACAGGCAGTAGAAATGTTAAGACAATGCCCGATAAAAGAGATGAAGAGTAGAAAATGACTCCAATTGAACCCAAGAAGAAACACTGCCAAACAATTGCATTCCAAACCAATACCAAATAGTATTTGCCTTCTCCAAGTTTATACACTTTAGCCTCCTTTGAGATTGCCTACAAATATGTAGTTGCAAGTGTTAATTAACAATTCAAACATAAGATGTAGTGTGTTGACCACAAAATTATAATTAACAAATGTGTCCCACTTATGATTTTCTCCTCATAAACTCTCAATGCTTGATGCTTAGCAAGGAGCAAGAGCAAGAAAAAGAGCATAAATAACTATTTGAGAGGGAGATATTTGAATTTGCACACCTTTCTTCTTTTAGTCGGGATTATTTATATATTTCCTTAAAGGCCTTAGAGGTAATTGGGTATTTTTAATAAATGATAGGTGTTTGTGTCCTAATTCACAATACTAGCTCGGACTTACCTTAATTTAAGAAGGAGAGCATTTAAAGATTTAATAGTCACTTCAAAGAAGAGGATTGAGAGATCACCAAGTCAACTCGACCCATGACAGGTCAACACTATCCTTGAGCTCAACCTATGATAGGTTAGATTTACCCCATGAGCTTGACCCATGACATGTGAGCTCTACTCCATGAACTTGACCTACGGCTCAACTCGACCCATGGTAGGTTAGCTTTACCCATGATGACCTATTCGGCCGATCTCAACAACCAATCAATATCCTTAAATTTGGGCAGTGACACGTACTTTTAGATTGATACTACAGCTGATATAATGTTGGACGGCCAAGTTGCTTGATTAGAAGCCTATAAATAGGGACAAATGGTATCCTTCAAGGGGCCGAAGTCAATGTACTCTCTCTAGTACACTCTAAAAACACACTAATAAATACAAATCACTTTCTTGTTCCTGTTGCAGTGAATTACCTCGTTCAATTTATCAATTAAGTTGATCAAAATTGATCATGTCATTTTGGAACGGTAATTGTTTGCTTCTAGAAAGAGGCCCATCACGAGTACAACCCACATCTCTTAAAATTTCCAAAAAAATCGAATTAACTCATCTAAATAGAGCCATGAGCATAGATCGGCATCAAAAAGCCATCCATTTACCTATCCTAGTGGTACGAGTTTTCCCAAAAATTTCCAAGGGTATAACGATTTTACTGCGGTTGGACATCCCCAACTTTCTTCCATAAGAGAGGTCATCAAATGCTTCACAATTGCTATATAAAGAATAGAGCAAAAGCAGACCATTATTGTCCCAGTGGCCGATACAAAGATGGAATCTCGTGTATGGGAAAGAAATAGACGATATTCCGTTCAAAAGAGTCCTCCACCTTAAGCAAAATGAATCCTTACCCAAGTCGGTCCAAGTCTTGACTGGCGTCACGATACTGAGGTGTAATCCTTTGTATGGGAAAAAATTAACAGCTTCATATTCGACGGAGTCTTCTCCTTGAAAAGAATAAACCTCTAGACGAGCTGGGAATGTTTTTGATACCCGAGATACACAACGTTCACTTCCTCCAAAAAGTGAATAACCTAGCCCCATTCAAATCAAGCCCAATAAAGAAATGGATGATAAGCATGACTAAGTCACTTAAGGAAGTGTATAGTTGACCTAAAAACTAGGCACAAAAAAGTGTTGGAGAAGTACTTCACCAGTCACCATTTTTCCTTTATTGAGGACATATTGGCTGAATATCTTCCAAATAAGCTAAAGATGCCTTAACTCACCGAATAAGAAGGAGAAGGAGGTCCCGTCAGTCACCTCTACAAATATACATCATGGATGGAGCTGAGAGAAGCCAACAATGCTATTATGTGTAGATCTTTCCCTTCAGTTTTATGAAATAAAGCCCAGTGGTGGTTCATAAAGCAGCCATAGAGGTTAGTCAGACTTTGACCAACCTGGCTACAACATTCTTAGCTCAATTCATGGGCTCCAAGGCTAGGACCACATCCAAAGAACGATTGATGATCATAAAACAAGGACGGAGTGAGTCATTAAAAAATTACCTCAACAAGTTCAACAAGCAAATTATACAAGTGGAAAAGATTTTAGATGATGGTATCCTCAATGCTACTTTGTTAGGGCTAAAGACCAATACAAGATATTGGTGGTCCATGTAGAAGATGGACCTAGAACCTACCATACATTCTTGAGCCAAGCTGAAAAGTTTTGGGAGCAAAGAGGCTACCTCAAAACAAGAAGAAGCAATAGAGGAGCTCAACACTGTAGCTTGATAAAAGAAAAGGAGGTTCTACAAAAGACGCATGCTAGAAAGAGGGAAGGAAAGAAGGGAAGTTAAGAGACCTCACACATATCCAGAAAGATTCCAAGAGTACCATCTACTAAATACAACCTTAAAAGGGGTCTTTATGTGAGTGGAGGACAAAGAGGTCTTCCATAGACCTCTCCCCTTAAGAAAGACCTTAATGGGTCCCAACCAAAGTAAATAATGCCGATATCATAGGTTGACAAGTTCAAACACCAAAGAATTTCGGTACCTCAAAGAGCAGGTGAAAGTCCTAATTAGGCAGGGTCAACTTTGAGAATTTATTGCTAAGCTTGGGAGATGACTAAAAAATCCCAAATGCAGGCACCACCTCCCCATTAGTAGACGACGCTTTACCACCTCTTGCATATACGCTAACGAGGTCTACATGGCAGATTCTGACTTTAGCCCACTAGATCCCATGGTAAGAATATATAATAAATGAGCCGAACTAGTGAAAGAGCTAGATAAAATCCAAGTCAGCTCGGAGTTCATTCACCCAAACCCAGACGTGTTCACTTGGAGTCACAAATGCTATGGAGGGAATCACTCCAAAGGGTTGGCCACAGGCTCAACATCGACCCCTATGCTTAGCCAAAACAACAAAAGAGTAGGCCAGTTAACCAAAAAATGAAAAAAGTCGAGCTAAACTCTAGTATACGAACAGAGAAGTGCCATGTACTATAACCAAAAAGTACGCGAAAGAGAATTTAAGGTCTGTACTTGGGAAGGTCTTTCTCGTCGCAAGAGAACTTGACTGAATCCCTAGTCACTAATTGGGAGAAACCTAACAAAATAATAAGTATTCTATCAAAGGGAACTTATAAGCTGAAAGATATCTAAGGCACACCTGTCATATACCCTAGGAACATAAAATATTTCAAAAAATAATATCAGTAAAAGTAAAGGTTCTAGGAAAATGTATTGTCAAATATCTTAGCATAAGCCCACCTCAATAAAATAGGTGTCGAAGTAAAGCAATATTTGAAGAAAAATACTCGAACAAAGCCATCGCTTTAGCGACACTAAGCCTACTCTTTAGCAGTACGATATAAGGTTGTAAATGTGGAAACACTTAGACAAAAGTCTGCTATTCAGCGGCATGAAGCTTGATCTTTAACAGCACGATCTAAGGTTGTAAGTGCTGCAATACTTAGACAAAAGCCTGCTTTTCAAGGGCACAAAACTTGCTCTTCATGGGCACGATCTAATGTTGTAAGTGCTGTAACACTTAGACAAAAGCCTATTCTTCAATGGTACAAAGCCAAATTTTTAGTAGCACGATCTAAGGTTGTAAGTGCTATAATACTTAAACAAAAGCTCACTCTTCAGCGGTACAAAGCTTCTCTTTAATAGCCTAAGCCAAGTTTGTAAAAAACTATGATACTTAGCCCCTATTTGGAATTTGGTAGAGCTTAAAATCCATAATTTAACCTAAGTCAAAGTAAAAAATTAATTTTAACCACAAATTTTATGGAACTCACAACATTTCATTGACACATCTCTTCAACTGTTATCAAAATCTACTAAAAATATGATCTAATCCATACCAAATATGGGCTTAGTCAATTTTCCACGCAAGACCTCAGTAGAAAAATAAAGATTTCCCGAGCTAAGTGTTGTAAAAATTAGACAAATTGACTATGAAGAACTCTGGGAGACAAACTAAAATAGTCAGGTTAAGTTCTAATAAGTTCTTCATAGAGGGTTCTCAAATTCGACCCATTGGCAGATTCAATGATGATAAATGAAAATTATGCAACAAAAGGCACGTGGGAAGTACAAACTCCATATCTTCTAGCATTTCCTCTTTTAGGAGGGACTATTTATAGATTTCCTTAGGGATCTCAGGGGCAATTGGGTCTTTTCTATAAAGGGCAGGTGACCACCTTTTAATGGTAGGTTTCTAAGTGGTTGTGCATTCACGTTTTATTTATTAGATTGCATATCTTATATTCATTGGATTTGCTTTAATTATTTACCTATGCATGTTACTTACGATTTATGCATGGAAGACAGCTCGTCCTCTTATCTGCGAGCTCCTGAGTTTATTCTTAGCCTCGCTCTTTCTAGGCTCGTATAGAAAAGTTACGTCTTTTCTTGCTCATTTCATTAATATTTCTTTATTCAACATGGTGCACATTAAAATTATCTTGCTTGTAGAAAATCAACTGTAATATTCATGAGTTTATAGGTAAAGTTAGTTGTCATTATTGGTGTTAGGTAAGAATGGACACTAACTGAACACATGTTTATATGAAATTTCAGTAGAAGGGATAAATTAGGGAATTTTGAGGAGATTAATCTGAAAGAAAACAAAGATTGAGACCGAGTAAATTAAGAGCCATTCAAATAATAATAAAATTTTATTAATTTATGGACGAAGGTCCGGCAATGTCCCACATTCATGGCTAAGCCGGCTTAAATTTTTTTATTTTAATATTAAACACATTTTTAAATGAAGAATGCTAGATGTACATTTTGATTGACAACTTTTTGGACATCCCCTATATGTGGGAAGAAATTTGGGTAGTGATGTAATGGTTGTGATCAAAATTAAAAATAGAAATATAGTCACATAGAATCAGGGTATAATCCATGGTGTAAGTGTAGTATGATTTTTTTAAAAATAGGATTGATGTGAAATCATGAATATAGAGTTGACTTGGTCTAATCCCACAGGTTGCAGGAATATGACAATATCAATTGCCAAATAACTAGTTATGCATCTGTCCTGATCAAAGATAACATTATTTACTCAAATTTTGACATCTCACCTTATTAGTGACAAAATTTTGATGTTGAATTAAGACCACTCAGATGCCTTAATATACAGGATATCATCACCGTAGATCCAGCTGAAGATCAATGGACCAGAGAAGCACACGTATCAGCCTCAATGGGTTGGGTTTTGTGGTTCGTTTTCTTGTATAGAAGGGTACAATGATTTGATTATGACCCTAATCAATCATGGATTTTGGATATTCTTCGTGATTCTGATTTTTCTACTTTCATTGTGATTTTACTCTACAATTAGCTTAGAGTTCAGAGTAAAATTGTGGTGCACTTTTTTCCACTTGCTGGTTGGCAAGTCCGACATTAGATTCCATAAAGAGAACTTAAGGAAAAATCGAAAGTTTAAACCAAGGACAACAAAACTTTTTCATGGAATAATCGCTCTCATTTTAATGCAAATAATTGCATAAATAAATATTAAACAAACATTCTTTTTATCAAAATTTAATGACTTGAGGTGTATTTCGTACAAAAAAATTTCTACGGTTTTTTACAACACAGACGAAAGCAAAACACATGAATACACTATATGCTAATGCTATACACATATATGTTTCTCTGTGTGATCGTCTTTCTATTAATTAATAAAAATTGATGTGATGAGACACCAAACAAAAAGTGAGAGATCCGGACAAGACATCTCAAGTAGTGTAGGAGAATTGAGATATGCGTGTTCGAATTGAGTGTCCTCTGATACATTACTCACTCTTAGCAAATACGAAGATATTAATCTCCTGATGTGGCAAAAAATAGGCTTGACTTCTTTTCATTTGTTAATAAGATGTAGAAATGTTAAATGAACCGAGAGACGAGCAGGCTCGACTCGATCTACCATGCAAGCCAGCTTGCGCTCGCATATGGAATGAGCCAAGTGCGAGCTGTCTCATTTTCAAGCTTGCCCAACTTTTTATTTTTCACTCATCGATTATGAGCCAGCTCATAATTGAGCTAGCTCGTTTGGCTCGTGAGCAAACTTGTACGAGATGGTGAGTAACTTGCACGAGATTTTTGTTGCTCGACTCACCTCGGGTACAAGCTAACTTGACTCGTTTGTGAGTTGAGCTGAGCCAGTTAACTGCTTGCTTCACTAATCAGCCCTAAGAAGATGTGATGATTTGAAATGTCAAGAATACATTGATTGAATAACATATTTGGAATAACAGATCTAGGCTCGTAGAAGGGTGAGAGAGAAAGAAAAAAGAAACCTGGAAATCATTGTTGATGAGCATTCCAAGTGTACAAAAGGCAGTGGCAAAGAAACACATAACCATCTGTATCTCCAATACTAACGTATAGGTAATAGCCTGTTTAGCCTTCGAATACATAAGCTCCACCAGAGGCAAAATGAGTCCATACAAAGCTGATGCAACAAGTATCATGAAAAACCCTAAAAGATACTCCTTATTCGATTCGCCCTCTGGTCTATCACTGCTTGTATGAAGACCCAAAATTACAGCCCCAACAGTCAACAAAACTATAGCGTTTATCGAATACCCCGTAAACTTCTGTTTAACAAGAAGAAACGCGAATCCTGCAGTGAAAGCAAGCTGGGTAGAAATAATAAGAGAAGAGGTCGAAACTGGTAGTTTTGCAACACCGTAGGCGGTGAGGTAGTCATCGAGCCCGATCAAAACTCCGATAGCTGTTGAGGAAATAAATAAGCGAGGTTTCATTGAAAAGAACTGGGTTTTGGTGGTGGAGCCGCCAGTTGTGCGGCGGTGGATGTATGCTATTGTGAGAGGGATGAAAATGATTGGCCAGCCAACGGTTTGGAGCCAGCTTGAAAACCAGATTCTTTTGCCTCCTCGGATGAAGTAGAGACGCATGATTAAAGGACCGCCACAGTTGCCTATGGCTAGTATTATGCAGTTGAGGCCCAAAAGGGCTTTCTTCATGGAGGTGCTAGCTCGAGTTTCCATGTTTGCTGTATCCATGATGCTAGATTGGAGTGAGGAAAGAAAGAGGTATAGATAGATTATATAATCCCAAGGATATGGGCATGTGCTGAGTATAACAAAGAAAATATCTAAATCAATTGAAGGAAAATTTGGAGTTACACTCATCGAACTTCCACAAATAAAGCACATAAATCTAAATCAATATTTTCGAGCCTTTACTACCCAAATTTTCATCTTTGCTGTATATTGGTACTCGTGATTAAACCATCATTTTTTTTGCTATTTGAGAATTTTTTTTAGTCAACTCACACTCAGTTTTCTTCAAATAAAGTTAGAAAGGGAAATGGAATGTCTCACTTTATTAATTGTCATTTAACAAAATAGTTCGGCTAGGCTACACGAAAATGACTCTTAAATAAATCATCACATATAAAGTCTAAAACAATTTGACGAAAATTCGACAGTATCAACCAATTGAGGATCAATGTGCAGTAAAATTAAAGTATGGGACCTGAAGGCCAAGAAAAGTTACCGGGATGCATATATTTTATTTCCCACATTTTAATGTTCCACTTGTAACAGGTGGGTAAATATCATCAACGGTCACTAAACTTTCAGTGAAATCTCAGCTAGGTCACTGTTTCGCGCGGATTGTCGCTAACAATTAAAAAAGGGATTAGACGATTGTGTAAAGGACAAACCTTTTGAGACAAAGTCCCAAAAATGAGTACTTTATTGATGAAAGTTACAATTGAAAATAAACAGAATGTCTCTAAGGGGCGCAAGCACACGAATACTGAAAAGGGATAATTAAAGTTAATCTAAAAAATTGAAATTACACATTCTCTATTTGAGAGGTTTGATTCGGGGGGGCTTTCTCTATGTCTATTCTTCCTTTTATATTCCCATGATGATTTTTTCGTGACAAATTGCTTGGAAACTGCTACCNTGGGCGATGACGGTACCTTGTTCGTGGGCCTCCACTGCATTCATTAATGAACCTATTTGGACCTTCATCTTAGACTTCCTAACTGGATCTTATCCCTTGGGTTACTCGATTTGGACTACACTTTTTGTATGTCAACAATTACCCTCCAATATGGCAGAATTAATACTAATTATTAATCTTTTCCATATTCTTTCTTTGTATTTTTTGACAATATTTGAAATTCCCAAGAATTTCAATCATTATTTTCGTTTGATTGTAACCCTTCTATAATCTGAAAAAGATGCAATGTTACAAACCCCCCATAAACCTAAAAGACACGCCATGTCCTCACGCCATTACATTCACGTCTTTACATTGTGCGTTCTATAAAGGTCACTAGTCATTGACAAGCTTCCTCATTACGCTTCTCAAGAACCTTTCACAACGTTTGTTTCTGCATCCAATGACGACTTCACAAACTCATCCTGATGATTCTTTCAATTTTGAGGACTTCCAAAACCTCCTTGGTAGACCGTATATAAATTCAAATTTCCTTGCACAATCCAATGCTGACCTCAATAAATTTTATCTAGGCACATCATTCAATGATGCCGAATCTATCGGACGAGCGGTAGTGGGTTTACTATTCCCTTACACTAAAGACCTTCATTTTCTGAACTTCTTGCCATTGAAGCCAATTCGCGATAAAGTTATTCACACTTGGCCAAAAACTGATCCTAATTTTTATAGATGGCATGCACGTATGATAAATCATGGTCCCACCAAAGTAATTTTTGATCGTGTTAGGATTTTGGACCTATTAGAAATTACCTTTTTTTGCCCAACTTATGACCCAGTGCTTTTTCCAATTGCGCTGAGTTTCTGATTTTTCGAGTATAACACTTTTGTTTTCCCTCTTTGCCTAATGTCTATTGCTCTAAGGGATATTGGGGCCTTAGTAAACCTTCCGCCTTCGGACGATACCATTTTTCCTGGCATTTTGATTTCCAATGTTTCCTTAAAGTTTGACAAGAAAGTCGTTGAATCTTCCTCGAGCATGCAAGGCCTTTATATTGCTTCCCATTCAGAACCCACTCATGCTGAGCGTGTAGCCTTCCTTCAACTCTAGCTGTGTAAACACGTTCTTTGTGACCCCGGCCTGAAACCCTCTATGAGTTATCTGGCTGACGAATGTTGGGCGATATTCCCCTTCATTGCCGATATTCACTTTAATCAGAGGGTCTTGTACTTGAGCGTATCCAGTCTTGGTGAGCCGTCTTCAGTAGATGCTCTCAATGAAAGAAGAAACTTGTGAGGATGACTTCTATTGGAATCATATCACTTTCTGCCTTTGCAAACTTTCTCATCATTTTAGACGGGATGATGTTTATAGTTGCTTCGTTGTCAATGAGTACTTTTGCCACATGAATACCATTGACCAAGGCCATCACATACAGTGGCCTCAAATGCTTAGTCAATTTCATGGCAGGCTTCTTAAATATAACCTTCTCAGCAACATCTATTTCCACTTCCTGTTTGTCCTCTATTGAATCATTTCCTCATGATAAGTCAACGTGCAAAATGTAACACTGAACTTCTTCTTCTTGAATTCTCTCTTTACTACGCTCCAGAACTTCTTCTCTAGTTACCCAACCTGTGGGAGGAGGTAACATTCTTGGAGGTGATCCATATTTTTCAGAGCGAGGTACTCTTCTTTTCTTCTTGGGTATCCCATACAGCACATAATAATCGAAAGAACGTCCAGATGGTTCCCCCAACAAGTCTACTTCACGAACTTCCTCTCGATATAATTGCTTTAACAGAGTATTACGCGATACTCCTTTCTTTTTTCTTTCTCCTTCAAGATCAATTTCCTCTTCGATGTCCATCATACTATCATCTTCTTCATCATTGTAGACCCCTCTAGAAGTTTGGCCTTCTTCACATTCCAGCACACATGCTTCTTCTTCGTTATCCTCCATTTCTTCTTCTTCTTTCTCTTTGTTCTTTAACTCATTGGCTAGTAAATAGTTATTAGCCATGACAGGAGGTAACGTATCAAACTGAATTGTAAGGGGCTGATATGGATCTTCTTCATCCCTTCTGTCTCACTCAAACTTAGATATCCCAGAAGAACTCTCTGGTAGTTCTTCCATCGATTCGCCTGTACTAGTCTCTTCCCTGCCTTCAAGAACATTTTGATTGGTCACCTCGAGTAGTTTAGGTGCCTTAGGATGCGTCAATCCCTGTTGTTACCTCATCATTCATTCATAATTCAGTTGAAAATGCCTTTGTTGGGTTCTAGTAATCTCGTTGAAAGGTATCACCCTTCCTGCATTATATTGAAATGAATGACATACATTTGGTTGGCGAGTTTGTGGCCTAAATGTTCTTCCATTATTTATTGACCTAAATTGCCTCTCAAAAGGCGGTTCTCTATAGAATGATGCACCTCGCTCTCTAACAGGCTATGCATTTGGGAAAAAATTAGGGCAATGGTGATGCTGCCATATCCTTGTTTTCTCTGTATTTGCACTCACTTCTCCTTTACATCTTGCACACAGGACGTCTTCATCCTTTTTAAGCTCATTCTCTTTGATACGTTCAAAGACACTGAGATGTGGTCCAGGGTCCTTTTCTCCGTCATCTATGATCAACTTGAATTTTGGCAACTTGTTTATCTGTTATTTATGACCAACTTGAAGTTTGGCAACTTGTTTTTGAAACCAATCGGCACCATGTTCACTCCAAGTGGCTGTGGGAAAGGGTTATTATCCAATGTCATCTTTTTTTTTTATCTTCGAATGTAATTCGTCCTTATTCAATGGCATCATGTAACACATGGCAAAAAACCAAATAGTTTTAGTCAAATGTGACTATACATTATGCCACTTACAATATTTTTTACCCTTAATTTGTTCAGGGCTTGGCAACTTATGTTTATCACTCAACTTTATCTGCTTATCCTTATATAATTTATCAAATCTAAAGTCAGCTTTGGCTACATCGAATAAGAACGTTCTAACCTTTTTGTTTTCATCTTTTATAGGCTGGTCCTTACCCGACGCTCTAGGCTTAGCCATTATAGGACAAGTATACGCATCTCCTTTGATTCGTTCGGCCAAACATACTTCGGTTTGATCGTAATACTTGTCATTAATGGTATGAACATCGAAATTTGGGTCTCTATAATAAGTCCCCTTCCTAGAATTTTTCATTTTCTCTTCTTCTTTTATTAATCGTTCATACCTAATCACGTTTGTGCTCAATTGGAAAAGATCAGGAAATTCCCTGTCTTGGAATTTCTTTTTCAAATCAAGACTTAGACAACTTTGAGCGATTTTGACAAACTCCTTTTTGGGCAAAGGTGCGAAACATTTACTTCTTACTGTCTTGAACCTTTGAAGGAAACCTTCTGCCCATTCATTTGGCATTTGACGTAGATTCATCAAATCGGCCAAAGTAACTTCAGATTCAGTCTTGTAAAACTGAGCATGGAACAATTATTCTAATTGTTGCCATGTTTAAACGGAGTTTGCTGGCAAGTTGATGAACCAGGGAAAAGCTACTCCTGTAAATGAACTAGGGAACAACTTCATTTTATGATAGTCGGTTACTTTACCACTTTGCAGCGTGAATCTACCTATATGTTCTAGAGTGGACACTTCTGGCGCCTTGTACCCTCTAGGCCATGGATATGCTTGATCTACACAATCAGGATATGGCTTCGTGTAAGCAGGCATAATGACAGGACATACCCCAAGATCCATTTGATCCTGTACTATCTCCATGATTTGATTCCTCAACATGACATTGGGATCATATGGAATTCCTACAAGTTGGTTTAATAGTTGATTTACTTGAGGCCTAATATTTGGTCCTGGTTGGCAACGTAATTGCCATTGTTTGGGCCATTATTACCATTAAACTAAGTATTCAAATCATCATTAACATGCGGGACGTTCTGCCCATTATTCAGGACATTGTCTCTAATATTTGGAATACACCCAGGTTTGTAATCCCATTACCACCATTCAAGTTTGGCGTTCCATTACCCTCTGGTTTGAAGTAGACAGACCAAAGGGTGGTTCTAATCCTTAATTTAAGT